TTCCGACGCTGTTGTCAACAAGGAATTATTGGAAATTGAAAAACTTAGACTAATGTCATGTAGAGACATGATATATTCATGAGTTGATATTGCTCAATCGATCATGACTATATCACAACGTCATGTATAGACACGATTCATTGTTTGTACTTGTTGTATCAACCATAACTATGTCCCAGTAATAGGAGAAACATCATTGACTAGTTACTAGAAACCTAGCCAAGATCCTAAAAACACAACTGAGACTAGGAGAATTTGACTGAGTAATTTATTATTCTGATGAATCTAGATCTGGAGGAACATAATCTAGTCGCTTTTCTCGAGGTATATGAACCTGAGCATATCATGTATTATAAACTATATAGAAATCTATATCAATCACAATCATCATCTTAACTCATGTCGCCATCAATAGCTACAAAGCATAGTTCTAATATTTCCTTATCTTTACTGAGTAGGGGTGTCCTAAGAAAAAAAAGCCTGCGAGTGAACATCTCAGAGATGCTGGGCCATGGAAGAATTGAAAGTGGTTTAAATCGATGACCCAAGATTTTGGATGTATTACTTAGAGTACTGGCAGAGACAGCAAATCCTTCACAATTATCTCAGTGTTCTAGGGCGCTTAGTAGTTGCTATGACTCACTTGTTAATTTGTTAATCTTTCTTGGTGGCGTTGGCACGTCGGGTGGTCTTCACAGACTTATTTAACTAGCACTTGGGCCTGTAGTCTAGTGTTGTGCGCCAATACGACATAAAGTAAATGAAAATGAAGCTCTAAAGGCAGGAAAAACATCAATCTACACACTCCCAGTTATATTTACATCTACCTGTCACACACGTGATATAAAACACATCAAACAAAGAAAGATTTTATGAGGTTTCTTTTGCATGTTAGTAAGAATAAAATGACAAATGTTGACTGTGAAATTCACGGATGTCTCGTGGCTTCGACTACGACAATCTTTATGTGTGTAGAGCTTGAGACTAGGTGTAAACTTGTATTTCTATTAACGTTCTAACTCCTCCTTAAATACATGAAATCCTCTATACTCCAGATAATATAACGATCGATGATACATGACAAGTAAACTATCAAAGTACAGTAGGGGAGGAGTGAGGTGCTTAGCTGCCCGAATTGTGACCAAAGAATGCGAGGGGTGCATTCTTGATGGGACCTCAACTCGGCGGCTCGCTTGCCGTGAGACTTGGCGTTTCGCTCGGACTTGGAATTCAGGACCCTCAATTATTCCCTTTCTCAAACTAAAGCTGTCCTCAGCTTTTTTTTTAAAGTCCAACAGCAGCTCTAATGTTTCTGCAATCATGCTCCAACATTCTCCGACTCCCATACCACAGACTTCTAACCGGATGCCTGTTGTGCGTATAGGCTGGAAACAAGTTTGTCCCGTTGTACAAATTAGCCATCTTGTATCCTCCTGGTGAGATAAGGGAATAGGTATTTCCTGCATGGCATGCTGCAATGGCCCAAGGTCCATTGTAGTAGGGCCCAAACTTGTGTTTTCTCTGTTGTACGCGTAGTACCCGATCGCCAGATGCATAAGTCCTAATTAGTGCCTTATCCTCTTGCAGATATTCTCGAACTTTAGATCTTGCAGCTCTGATACTGTTAACGTAAGTTCGTGCAATAGGTTCTATCAAACTATGGATAGTTTGGAGGCGATTAATGTCAGATATAAAGTTTAAGGAGTTAGGTTTACAAAGCTTGGAGTTACTTGTTTCGAAAAAAGGTGTTTCGCTTGGGCTGTAGCAATAAGAACTCTATCTGTTCTGACTAGAGATGTTTTGTTCCAAACCATAAGAAGCTTGGTCTATGGGGACAAGTTGGGGACACATAGAACATTTGCCATTTTCTAGACGTACATAATCTAGATAGTATCAGTAAGAGAAATGGCAGCCAGGAATTAATTGACACTTTTTACTTTTACTTCATACATTTTTCAATTGACTCGTAGAGTCTAACAGGCTCTGCGTGGGACTTCGCTAATTCGTCTGCCCACTCACGATCTTCCTGCGGAGTGGCTTCTCGGATGTATATCGGATATATGAGTTCTTCATCTGGAGGTTTTGTTCCAACGATGAGAAAGTAAGGACTGTAGCCTGTTGGAGAGATTCTTCGATTGTATATTACCACTGCGCGGGCTAGGTGCTTGGCTAGCGGTGAGTCTGGGGATTCTAGGATATTTCGAGACAAGATTTTCTTAAGGACGCCATCTGCCTGTTCTAACTTACCGTTACTTTGTGGTCTTCCAGCTGAGGTATGCGTCGTGGTGAAGCCATGGTTTTGTTGAAATTGTTTCGCTTCCGCTCTGCTAAAACAACCTACGTTGTTGCTTATGACTTACTTTGGCGTTCCGAAAGTCTAGATTATGTACATGAGTGGTGGAACGGTATTCGTAAAGTCAGCGTTTGAAACAATACGCGATTCAAGCCAGCCAGTGGCATACTCGACTGCATTGAGGAGGATCTTGAATCCAATTTTCGTGTGGTTGATTCCCCATCTTGTAAGGGGTGGCGCTGGCTGTATTGTTCTGAGATCGCCTAAGCTTGGGTCTGGGGGCTTCATTAACTGGCACAATCGGCATGTGCGAACTGCTTCGTGGACTGCAAGTGTAAGCTTTGGGTTCCAGTACTTGCGGTTGACTTCACTTATAGTTGTTCCCACCGAGGCGTGGCCTAGATTCTCATGAAGTTGTCTTGCGAACTTTGTTAGATCTTCGTACTCCATGACTTCAAGAAATGTCAGGGCTCCTTGAGGAATTGGCGGATCGCCAATGTCAACATGCTGGTTGACTAAGATTCGGTGCAGTTTGTTGTCCTATATTCCAAAATTCTTGTTTACCCAGCTGTTCTCTAGGTTTGGGGGAAGATCTTGGTTTTCGGTGAGGAAATCGAAAATACATTGAAGGTCAATACAATTCAGACGCTCTGGATCTTCTATCTTTTCGGAATTTCTTTCCGTGTCCCCCGTCAAGTTATCTCCATCGGCATTCCTTCCCTCTTCTTCCGTAGTGAATGAAATGTCAGGCGTTCTAGACAGATAGTCTGCAAGGACGTTGGCTGTTCCTTTTCGGAAGAGAATTCGGATACCGTAGTGTTCAATTGAGTCCAGAAATCTTACCATTCTTGCCGGCTGTTCTGATTTGGTTTGGATTGCGCGTAGAGACTCATGGTCTGTAATGACAGTAACGTCACTACCCTCAACCTAATACTGCCAGTGCTGTAGTGCAAGCAGAATTCCTAGCAACTCATGTTCCTGCGCGGAGTACCTTTGTTGTATCATTCAATTTCCTGAAGAAGTACACAATAGGATGGAGGATGGATCGTTCAGTATTCTCCGACCAGTGGATGTGAGGTTGAAGTAATACCGCGCCTAAAAACCTTTGGGAAGCATCAGTTTCTAATACAACAGGAAGTTGCCAATTAAATTTTCTCAGGATTGGTGCCAAAGTCAAGGCTTCTTTAATTCTTTGCCATGAAGCAATTGATTCGGGCGATGGTATAACAGGCTTATTTCTAGGCCCAATTGATTGATCTGTGAGTAGGCCAGCCAAACTCGAAAAATCCTTTATGAGCGAGCGAAGGTATCCGGCTGCATTGACAAATCCTCGTATTTCGGAAGTTTTGGTTGCCATAGGACGATCTTTGATTGCCGCAATTTTTTCAGGATCAGCAATGATTCCGTTTTCCGAGATTGCGAAACCAAGGAATATTCCACATGGAACAAATAGACGGCATTTTCTAGAGTTTAAGATGAGACCGTATTTAACAAAGCGAGCAAATATAAGAAGTAAGCGGCTGTGTTGTTGTTCAATAGAATCGCCCCAAACAGCAACATTGTCAAGTAGTCCAACAACAGATGAGCGAAATGGTTCTAGGACTTCTTCCATAAATTTTTGGAAGGTTACTTGCGCGTTGCACAGCCCGAATGGCATCACTAACCACTCATAAATGCCAAATGGTGTCACAAAAGCAGTTTTCTCACAATCATCTGGGTGCATTTGAATATGCCAAAATCCATTTTCGAGGTCCAGAAAAGCATATTATTTATGTCCGGCTGCGCGTTGTATCTCATCATAGGCGTTGGGAAGTGGGTGTGCATGTTTTTTTATGACCTTATTAAGTTCACTATAATTAATACAAATTTGCCAGACCGTTTTTTCTGTGTTGGTTGTTGTTTTCTTTGGTGTTCACAATAAGGGCGCAGCTCATGGTGACTTGCTTTTCATGATTTTAGAGCCTTTGTGTGCTTTGCAAAAATCACAAATGACTTCTTGCTGAGCAGGGCTGTACCTTCGGGGTGGGAGTCTGATTGGCTTATTACTCTCGGTATCAATGCGGTGTGCCGTTTGTGTTGGTTTATTTGTCTGTCTTTTCTGTCTTTCAAAGAGCGAAGGAAAGTTGGTTTTGTACATGCGCCCATATTTGATACCGGCCGATGCAGTGGTGGCGTGCCAAGTGATATCGAGAGTTTCTGTTGTTGAAAAGATTGTGTTGTTATTTGAAATATTCAGTGGTTTAAGGATAGGTCTCTCTGGCATTTCCAAGAGTCTGATATTCTCATTTTTTAGGAATTGAATACCCATGGCATGAAACATTGTCTTTCCTTGTGTTAAGTTGCCAGGAAATGTGCCGTCTGGCGCTACCCCAACTGAGACTATAAAAGGAGTGGACCAGGAATTAGAGTAAATGTGAAACTGTGCAGTGATTAGAGCTTCTTTGGTTATTTCCGGTCCTTTACTGCCAATGCCTGCAAGAGATGAATTGAAGGAAGAGTTGTATTGGGTTAAACTCTTTGCAAAAGAAGAAGAAACATAACAAGGAGAACCATAATCAAAGAATATTTTAAAAGTAGACAGAGGAATCTGGGCTAATTTTGTAAGGAATGTACTGTGTGGCTTGCCAAAACCTTCCCTAGGAAGTTCCTTTTGAAAAGTTGGTATTTTGTTGCCAGTGCCCACCGCCACATAGTAGGCCTCTTGGCCTCATTGTTTCTCAGGGTATTCTCTATCCATATCATTTATGAGGTTGTCGAGGTCTATTTCATCATCATTTTGACCTGGATCGAGGCAGCCGATCTGTGATGGGTTTACTTGATGATCTTTGTATAGTTCATCAGAATTGACGAGATAGGTTCTGTTGTTGAGTGTCAACTGGTGTAGTAGGTGTTTAGGACTTTGTGGTACTAGAACTCGAGAATTTCCTTTTGATGGATTTGGATTCCGATGAGTATTGCCGATTCGGTGAGTGTTATCTATTCTCTCAATAGTGTGCCTGCCGAAATTTTGGTGGTATCGATGTTTATTGGGGAAATTGTTGGCCCAATGACCTTCCTTTTGACAATGGAAACATACGTCACAGTGATTAACGTACACCGAATCTGGAGGATATTCAATGGCAGGGTAAAGATTGAGGTCGTTTTGGGAAGTAGCTACATCCATTGAAGACAAATAGGTTTCCGAGGTTTTGACAAAGTGCTTATCCTCACTGCTCCATTTGCAGACTCTTTCAGCTATCTGGACGACTTTTTCTACCCTCTGGCTGTTGCGAAGTCTATCTAAACTGGGTTCACCTAATGTCCAGACCCTCGGTAGATATTTACTGCAGAGGTCCGTTATCATTGTCCGTGTTGTACGGCTCACTCTATCGGTCTGTGACAATCCATAGAACGCGCTTCTTAAACGCCAGGCAAAGGAGTAGATTGAGTCCCCTTTGTCAGGGCTTATTGTAGTGCAGAAGCATGAAGTTTACAAGAAGTGTTCTAACTATGTATATATACTTGTGTTACGTAATAGTTAGTCACGTGGAATATGTTACATATCCATTACACTTATGCCGGCGAAGACTGTGAGTGAGCTATGGAGGCAGTCATGTAGCTCCATGTTTTTGAATATAGCATGTAATAATTCGATCCATTTCAAGTTGCGGCGCTCGTTTGCCCACACGCAAATACCTTTGAAATCACTACTCATCTCGTGGGCTAGGCGCTCCGTCCATATGCAATATGGTACCAGAGCGACGCGTAGAGCTGATTGGATCTCATTGAGCTTTTCGAAGACGTGGATATCAGCTTTGACTAGACGCCACTCAGCTTTAATTATCACCTTGTTCTTTACGTTGGTGAATGATTTGTCATCAATGTCTCTGTCCAGCAGAGCTTCCGGCCAAGCTTCCTTGACGAACTTTTCGACTTCGGTTAGTGGTTGTTCTATGGGAGTATCTGTCTGCTGTTCGATTTCTAGAACGGAAGGTCTGGGTGACTGAGTTGCAGCGACATTTTTACTTGTACCCGGATCCACATCTTTCGGTTTGAAAGTCGAAGCGTGGGGAGAGGTCTCCGATTTAAATTCGCTAGGTTCGTATAAAGAAGTGGAGATTTTCAATAGCATCTCCTCGATTCTTGCCATCCGACTTTCTTGCTGTTCTGCACGAGCTTGATTGCGTTTCTCTGCTTCGGTAACCTGATGAAAAGCTGCGTCGGATTGGACTCTTATTAATGACTCCAAATGCTGGAATTCAGCTTCAACCTATTCTGTGAAATCTTGTACCTTCTTATTGACTCCGAGTATTGTGGTTAGTTCTTTCTGTTCAGAAGTAGACATTATGATTTTGTTTCTTACTGAAGTCTTGAGGGTTTCTCTACAAAAATATTTATTTTTAAGGTTTCTTGTGCACGTTAGTAAGAATAAAATGACAAATGTTGACTGTGAAATTCACGGATGTCTCGTGGCTTCGACTACGACAATCTTTATGTGTGTAGAGCTTGAGACTAGGTGTAAACTTGTATTTCTATTAACGTTCTGACTCCTCCTTAAATACATGAAATCCTCTATACTCCAGATAATATAACGATCGATGATACATGACAAGTAAACTATCAAAGTACAGTAGGGGAGGAGTGAGGTGCTTAGCCGCCCGAATTGTGACCAAAGAATGCGAGGGGTGCATTCTTGATGGGACCTCAACTCGGCGGCTCGCTTGCCGTGAGACTTGGCGTTTCGCTCGGACTTGGAATTCAGGATCCTCATATATATTTAAATGGGAAATTATCCATTACTTAGGCTAATATTTTACCACTGAGCTCTTTCAAGTGCCGGTCAGGGATCAGAAGTTCGGAGTGCTGGCTAGTGTCGTCGCTGGATTACTTCGAAAGACAAGTATCATGGAGCCATCGACTAGAGACTATCGCCTTTTCAAGAGAGCCTAGAATGCATGGAATTTGGGGCGCTGAATGTTTAGTTCTATTGCGAAGAGGGATCGAAAATCACGTTATTGACACAGTTATTGTGGGGGACTATTCTCAACACCTGTCAGTGGTGTCCCCTACGAACCTCCAGCTCTTACTGTAGAGTCTGCAGAGCCGAAATTGAGTAACACCTTATCAACTTTGAGCTGAGTTATCTCCCCCTCCGTCAAAGATACGCTTCCGATAACACATAAGACGACCAAGACGATGATGATGATGCTGGAAATGAGGAAAGATAATGCGGTACCAAACGCTACAACGGCAGTCAGAGTAGCCCTCGTTATATCACAACATGTGCTACCCACCGGCGGGCGAAGAAATAGCCCACGAAAGCAAAATAAAAGACCTTTCCGCCCTCAAGAAAATCAGATTTCGACTCGTCAATAGTATCGTCCCTACTAATCTATACCTCCTAATCTACTAGCCAGGAGGGCATCTGAAATACATGAGTTACCCGACGATCCCACGTCCGTAACGACTTCCGGATGCTAGGCTAGGCTCTTTCATGACGGTCACTCTCGACCAAGACTTTTCTGACATTCTTTCACGACCTTCGATTTGTCCTGCGACATGAATCAGGGGAGGAGTAAGGAGGAGGCTAGGAAGGTTGAGAGACACTCTTAGGTATACACAAGTCTGCTGCGCCCGGCTGGCCGGACTCTTCGTCACAGGAGAGTCTTGCACCCAGTGGTTTTTGAGACTTTTCCCTACAGCTACACACCCGCAAATGGCCATCGTTTCGTTGGCTAGAGAGGGGAGATAATGACGGGATAACGGCTCCTCTTAGTGTGTACTCGAATGAAGACCTGTGGGGGTATTACTGCTGGAAAGAAGTCGTGAAGGAGGCAAAGGAGGGAGTACACCACCCGAGGCATAGATACTCCCGGCCTGTAAGCAGAAAAGACCTACATGTCCTTACATAGTTATAGACTTTTTAGGACAATAAACACTCACTCACCGACACAGTTATCGTAGTAGACGCTATAAATTACAGGATCTTATATATCCGGTATTGGTCAGTACCAAACGAGCTGTCACACTTCACTTCAAGTGAGATCTGCGTCTTGAAGATCACTTACTTTGACGACAAATGTTGAGACACTCCTGCCGCACGGATGATGGATTAGCTTACCTACTAGAACTACAAGCGAGTAGTCTATCGCGGCGTACCACCGCCGCTTCAATCATGCGATAGCCATATTTAACTGTGAGTATGGCAAAGAAAACTCAATCAGTCACTTTGTCCAGTTTAGAAAAGCACTGGCGACATTTGTGACTCAAAAGTAGAGGACGGGGGGCACTGGCGCTGGAAGCCCTGCTCGGATAAAGATGATGGCGGCAGTTGAGGGAGTTCGTCCAGGAGACTGGAATATACGCGGTGGCTAGTCGGGAGATGTTGAGGATACCTGCGACTGGTAGATCATAAATCAATAGTCTAGATGGTTTGACATAGAAAAAGTGATTAGAATCATGGCTGGGGCCCCTGGTGGCCGACGCAGGACGGTGGAAGGGAGATTTATTGTGGTTTTTTTTCATAAATACTAGATTTCGAGTGGGATGAATTTTTATGCAAAGCACAGGCGACGTTACGAACCGTCATGGTTGGAGCCGCGGTGCACCGTCCTCGCTGGTCCTTCAAGCTGAGTCTGGATAGCTTGGTCACATATCCCCTTTGAGACAGTAGATCGCTGGTTCGAATCCGGCAAAACACATCCACATTTTCCGCGGCGCTGGCATACATGGAAGATGAAGGTATGGTTGGATAATCAAATGTTTTTTTTATTTCCCATTGGTGGGTACTTGCGAAGGAGGGTCGACTGTTTATGTAAGAAAGCATAAATCATAGTGGTATTTCCGAATGAAAACCAGAGTATGTGTGTCTCTAATGTCAAAAGAGTTATCTAACATGTATATATAGCACCGGTCATGTGTCATAGCTAACTACAAATTAAAGGATTTAAAAAAATGAATTAATAAATGAATATTTATTCGTGACAGGCACAAGCCTAACACTCAAGGAGCATAACACGGAGAAGGCTAGCCTTCCCCCGACGACTATATACAATGATAACTGTTAAACACTGAGGGTCAAATGAAAAATGTAAAGTAAACTTCGATTGATGAAATCTCTGCTCCTCAACTCCTCTCCAGCAGTGATGCTATATACCCATTTGAAACTATTTCGGAGAGAGATTATCTCCTCCTCGTTTCCCAAAATTACATTTTAATTACATTTGTTGAAGATCAAAAGATCTCAAGTTGGACCTTTGACTATCCTGAACATCCTGATCACCATGTCCCTGGCGAGATATCGAAGCTCGAGTAAGTTAATCCAAGATGTGTCATCCCAATATCTAGTGATTCTCATTACCTTATTCAGTAGGTTCCAAACAGGAGGGCGAAGGCTGAACACCTGTTAGTGGTGTCCTCTACGAACCTGAGAGTGAAATATTCTCCCAGAGCAGAGATTCAGTCACGAAAAATGGTGGGATGAATTTTTTTTGATGGATTCTCGACTTGAAGGAGTTGCATTCGATATTTTGGTCGAAAAATCAGTCGGCAGAGATTTCACAGCCACATGTGATTCACGAATGGGCTTAGGTCTGTTTGGGGCTCGTATTCAAATATCTGACATCTCTCAAACTCCTTATGTATTTGCGACGAAGCATTTCTCAGTCGATCCCTCACCTGCGACCCACCTCCATACTCGTCACATCACCTACCTACACACGCCCTAGTGAGGAAAGTCATGATGGAAACGGGACGGGTACAAAGGAGGAAGAAAAGGGAAGATACACCGAGGGGGTTACACAAATCCCCAATGACGAAAACAACCCAACGGTACTATATGAAGGTGCAAGGCTAGAGCAACGATGAGATCTTGGACGGCATTTATATTTCGGAGTCAATGAGGATGTCAAGGGCTCGGGCGCGTGGTGGCCGAGGCGCAGGAGGAATTTGCGACACGACGTATATACAGCAGGTTTCTGGACGGTTGGACTTGACACAATTCAACACATGGGTGAAGTCTGAAGTGGTCCAGTCATTAAAGTAGGACGGGGCACTTGTAATTTACGGTAGTTAACTTGATCCGGTCCGGCCCTACCCGTGCTTAGGCTCGAGTAGGAGTGAAACATGAATCACTATACCTAGCACGTTAATGAAAAAAAAAGGAGTGCAGCTGACACTATAAACACAAGCCAACGATGGTAGTTGTTATGGTCCGCCTCCTAGTGATGTACTCCGGTATAATCTGAGTAGCCTGGGCACCTACTCCGCTTGGGAAGGAGACATCTCAGACCATATTTCGCGCGGAGAAAAGTTGAAAGATGATGGAGGTATGTCTTGATAACTCAGGGCTTTTGAGACGTTCCCCTGGATGGGTTTTCACGGATGAGGGTTGAATTGGGCTGTAGAAAAAGCCACCATAACTTCGCAGTGGTGCCTGCAAATGAAATCCGAGGCATGAGTACTCTTCTTGTAAATTGAGTCATCTATCATACACTTCTCTGATACTGTGTCATAGCTAGATAGCTGCATACGCAATTAAATTCTGATGCAAAAAAAAAAGAACAAAATTTCGGTTGGAGTTTCGGTCTTCCCCATTTTCATACGCAATTACCGAATGTCTCCGATATGCTCGCACATAGCTGCGCCTTCAACGCACTTGACCTAAAAATTCCACATCTTCTTCTTACCTGCGCGAATTTTTACTGATGATGGCTTTTTATAACTTTCCATGATGCCAACGCCGTCACTGTATTGGATGGGCTAGTTAACCTTAAAGATCAAAAGAATTTTTGATGATCACTCCAGCACCCCTCTACGTTATTGTCGTGCTATTTCGACGGCTTCAACTTGTAGTGTTAGGCTAATCGAGATTAGAATGAATTTCTCAATAGAGGTGAAGATGCATTGATTGCTCTCTGGGCGACCTATCTAAACCTTATATACAAGTCCCATCAAGCCTCTCATGCAGTCCGAGCGATGGTTCACAAACTTGCCGCTTTCTAACTTGCCCATGGGGTTCAGTTTGTGTAAATAAGACAAGATAATACCGTCGCCACTCGGCAAACCAACTGAGACCTGTTAGGATGTAGAGGAACAGCCGAGGCAAAATAAGAATGGAGCAAATGCAGATGA